TATTTTTAGATCTTAAACCGATAACTAACATGAAAATGTCGTTAGCAACGGAGGATAAAAGTTGTCCCGTAGAAGGAATCGGAACATTTAGATTTCAGGTAAAATATAAGGGGAGTTTTCATGAAATAACTTTGACTGATGTTTTATTTAATCCTAAGTTGAGGACAAATTTATTATCCGGTTCCAGATTAGAAAGTAAAGGTGCGCATTTTGTGGGTACTAAAGTTAAAATTAATGTTTTTAATAAAGACTGGATAAAATTGTTCTCGGCAACACGCCATGAAAATTTGTATTTTCTTAAGCCGGATCATTATACACTCTGTCGCAAAAAAATATATGCACCCAGAAGAAATCAAGCTACAATCACGAAACTCGGCAAGAATGTAGTCTGGTAAGAGATATGCAAATGATTAAAATTTCGAAGCCAATGAGACAAGGCTAAGTGTGCTATGCGCATATTAGTTGCGCAACTGGGAGAGTTTAAAAGCATGAGTACGAGCGCCGTACGGCTATCCAAACGAATCTGATGACTTTGATAGACGATATTGAGACTTAGGATGCCTCTAAGACGTAACCGGCGGCAGTACGAGCAGCTGACGGACTTTGATAGGGGCCGTATAATAGGCCTCAGAGAAGCAGGTTGGTCGAATAGACGTATCGGCCGCCACCTCGGTCGGAGCGATATGGTAGTTGCTCGGTGTTGGCAACAGTGGATCACAGAAGGTAGAGTGTACCGTCGCGGAGGGTCAGGACGTCCCAGGAACACAAATGATCGCGAGGATCGTGCAATCAGAAGAGTGGCCACTTCGGCACCAACAACGTCGCTAGCATCGATTCAACGCCACTTACCTCCTTCCAGACATCCAGTGCCATCAAGAGAAACCATAAGGAGACGACTGACCGAAGTTGGCTTGAGGAGCCGACGTCCGCTAAGACGCTTACCACTGACCCCACATCATAGGCAGTGTCGACTGGATATTTTGCCGACCTCGGGCAACTTGGAGTGTGACAGACTAGAGACGTGTCATCTTCAGTGATGAATCCCGATTCAGTCTCAGTGCTGATGACCACCGCACACGTGTCTGGAGGCGCACCGGCCAGCGGTCCGATCCGGCATTTATTGTCGAGCGGCATACAGCAATTTCACAAGGTGTGACAGTGTGGGGAGCAATTTCTTGGGACACACGATCATCTTTAGTGGTCCTTCAAGGCACTTTGACAGCTCGCAGATACGTGGACGATATTTTAACGCCGATTGTGCTACCCATGCTATCAAGTCGCCCAGGTGCCATTTATCAACAGGATAATGCTCGTCCACATACTGCGCGACTCTCCCAACAATGTCTTCAAGGATATGACGTCCTACCATGGCCTGCCAGCTCACCAGATCTTTCGCCAATAGAGCATGTCTGGGACGCGCTGGGAAGGCAACTGCAGCCGTCCCGAGATACAGGAGAATTAACTGCGCAGATGCAAAGACTATGGCAGGATCTTCCACAGGGGGTCATATGTGATCTAATTGAATCAATGCCACGCCGAATTTCGGCTTGTATAGCTGCCAGAGGTGGCTTTACTACTTACTGATTTTTAACCTTTTACAAGCTGTAACCGCTTAATAAAATGATATTTTGTTCTGAATTTTTAATCATTTGTTTATTTTCATATACACTATATGCATACCAAATTTCGTGAATGTAGCTCAATTTCTTCTGGGTGCATATATTTTTTTGCGACAGAGTGTATTATACCAAAGAGTAAAGAAATTAGTTTTTAGTGATGTAACCGCTAAAACAAAAAACGGATCAATAGAAATATGGCATCAACGCTTTTGTCATGTTAATAACGATTACTTGGTAAAAACTAGTAAAAATGATAGTGTAAAAGTTCTCCCACGCTTAACTGATAATGGTAAGACTCATTGTATACCGTGTAAATTAGCAAAGTCCAAGAGAATTTCATTCAAAAAGACGGGGCCGTAAGATCAAAACGTCCATTGGAATTGTTGCATATGGACCTCTGTGGTCCAATGCCAACTGAAAGCCAAGGCGGTAATAAATATTTCTTGAGTATAATTGACGATTATTCAAGAAAGGTGACTGTATTTCCCATCCGAAATAAATCTGACGTATTTCATACGTTTATAAGATTTCAGAAACGAGCAGAACGTTTTCTAAGAAAAAGGTAATAGCAGTTAGAACTGATGGCGGACTAGAATTTTGTAATAATGATATGGATAATTTCTTGACAGAACTGGGTATAAAGCATGAGGTAACAAATTCATATACGCCAGAAAATGAATGGGGTCGCGGAGAGATTCAATTTAACCGCTCTAGATGGCATCAAAACACATTGCTTAAGTCTAGTGAAGTTCCCCATAAGTTTTGGGGAGAAGCATTACTTTGTTTCACTTATGCATGGAATCGAATTTGTCAAAAAGACAGTAACAAAACGCCTTTCGAAAAATATTCAGGTAGAAAACCATCGGTATTGCATCTAAAACCTTTGGATGTTTGGCATATGCTGGTGTGCCAAAACAAATTAGAAAAAAATTCGATATGCGTGCGAAAATGGGAATTATGATGGGATACGCACAACGTACTAAGGGTTATAGAATATGGTTGATAGATGAAAATAAATTAGTCGAGACTATTAATGTAAGATTCGATGAAAATAAGAGGGGAATTAATTTTAGACAAAAAGTTAATAGTAACCTTGGATATATATATAATTTAAACCTTCCTGATTATTATGATGATGAGGATGATTTTGATAGAGTAAAACATTCATTAACGAGTCGTTTAGTTTCAAAGACAAGTACGGAAACGCCCTCAACATCTGAAAAATCAGATGTATCTTCCGATAATCATAGCTTGATCCCATGTACGGAGGTTAAGTGGATTCGAAATATAGGTAAGAAAGTAACTGGATCTAAAACGTATATTATAGTATAGAAGGGGAAGCAACCCGATTGAAATCTTTAACGAAATAGAGATACTGTAAGAGGCATAATATTGAGTATGATCCTAGTTTATTTAATTTTAGAAAAGATAATACCGAATCCCAGGGATTTTCAGATTTGTCAGAGCAACAAGAAGCTCTTATGGTTGAAGTAACTATTCCTAACGGTTACAAACAGGCGATAAGATCCAGAGACGCATCTAAATGGCATGATGCAATGGATAAAGAAATTAACATAATGATGGAACGTAAAGTTTGGGATTTAGTTGACCATCCGGATAATATAAAAATTTTAGAAAACCGTTGGGTTTATACCATTAAATATGATGAAAAATAATAAAATTGTTAGATACAAGACCCGATATTATGTATGCAGTAAATGTATTATCTCAATTCCAAGCAAACCCGGGAATAAAACATTGGAATTGCTTATTGAGATTATTAGGTTATTTAAAATACACTCAATAATATAAATTAGAACTTTCAAAAGTTAAATCATTAAAGCTAAGATGTTATTCAGACTCGGATTTTGCTACAAATAGGGATGATCGAGTGTCGATGGGAGCTTTTATAGACGAAACTCCAATTTCATGGCGAACTTTCAAGCAAAAATCCGTTAGTCTGTCGACCATGGAAGCTGAGTATGTTAGTTTAACAGAAGCAGCTAAGGAATTCATTTGGCTAAAGAATGTAATTGATAATAAAAGTTTAAATTTGGAATTAAGTGAAAATGTAATGTTTTGTGATAATCAAGCTGCTATAAGTTTTTCAAATCACCGGTAGAAAATTATAGAACAAAACATATCGATGTTCGTTATCATTTTCTAAGGAATTTGATATACGACAAGGTTTTCCAAATTAAATATATAGATACCAAAAATAATTTGGCGGACATTTTTACCAAACCCATGGTAAAGGAAAAATTGTTACAATTTTGTAGAAAATTATTTCTTTTTAGAGAATAAGACTTTGTTTCTTTAAGATTAAAATATTAGTTTGTTTATTACAATAAAGATTGTGAATAAAATGAATTTTTTTGTGTTAAATTGTATAACATGTGACTATAGATTAAAATTAATTTACTGATTTGTCTGAGATAATGGTGCGAGAGATTGGAAAAAGGGGGCCGATTGTTAGACATTTAAAAAATCGGATCCAAATTTTTATGATCTCCTTGTGTTGTTTTTCCAATCCCGTTCCATGATCTCAATGAAAGTAAGCACACCGATTCGAACCCGATCTTTTTGAGTTTCGTGATTTGTGGTTGGCAGCAACTGCAATGCAAATCGAGCGAGTATTTAAACTCGCCTCATGTTAGTTTTTCAAAAAGGAAGGAGAAACAGAAATATAAGAAGTGTGTGAGTGGTTTAACTCTTAGAGGGAGAGAACGGCTGGTTGACAATGCAACTGCAGGTTGTGCATCACCATGTTAGATTAGAAATTCATTTTACAATATTAGAAGACGGTTCGAATCGGATGTCTCTGGTAATGTTGCTTTTTGAACTTATTGTTTTTTTTATCGCTCCAGTAACGAGCGCAGTGACTTTATGATTGATTATTAAAGGCCAATTTTAAGAAACTGTTTTTCGTCTTCATGCCTCCTCGACACATTAATTTCACTGCTAGCTTTGCAAAAATTTAAATTATTTTACCAATAAGAGTAACAATAACAATATAGCGTTGTTACAACAATGCAGGTGAAAGTTGAGTTGTATTTTTCGAATGTTTTTAATTAATATCTTTTTAACTAATTGCGATATCGGACTGAATTGGGAATCTAAACCATTCTCGAATTTACTTGAAACCACACAAAGAATTTCATCGAATTCGGTCGAGGAGTTTAGTGACAAACACACGCACAGAAGATTTTTATACATATATATTTAAAATTTTCAATCGTTAATAAAGTACTTTCTATTCATCCATTCAAATACATTTTTTTAAACTTGTCGTGGAGGACACTTGATATTAATGCAGTTTTTTCAAATATTAATTATTTAAATAGCCCAACAGCACATATAGAGAAGAAAATCATTCGTCGAGTCCCAGTAGCGTAATGGATAGCTTGTTGGACTTCTAATCCAAAGACGATGTGTTCGAATACCTCCTGAGATTGCCTAGTTTCTGAGAATGTAATTTCCTTTTTACTATAATTTTTATTATAAGAATTAAACTTAATGAATGAATAAATAATAACAAACAAAATAGTCCAACACTATAAAGAAAGGAAAACCGAAAATGGGTAAAATCCTAGGAGAGCCCACACCCTTGGCGACATACCAAAAAAAGACCCAATCCAGAACAAGATGGCGCCAAGTGAACCCGACAATGGCGGCAAGGGAATATAGTGGAATAAGGTGGATGCGTAATGAAAATATATGTAAACTATACAGAAATTAAACATTTAAGGTAAAAAATATAAAAACAGCACTTGCTTTCTTCCTGCTAATCTTTTCCGAGTGGAGGGTACAGCGTAACAGATTTTAAAAAAGCCTTCAAGGTTTCATCGCTAAGCAAATGATCGTGTGAGCGCCGCCCTATTTATTCTGCGAGGTAATGGTCGAACATACATTCGGCGTGGCTGGTACGATTACGAAGAAAGTATTTTATTGCCGACCATATTACATCCTGCTGATCATTAATTACATTTAGGACATTCATAACTCGAAGCAATCAATCCTTCCTTCATACACTATTCAATCAATTCTTTCTTACCTTTCGCATTCAACAAAGTAAAAAATTCTAAAGTATATTCCCTCACATCACGCAGCCAGCCCGGAGCCCAACAACAAAATGAAATTCGAAATGCGCGCCCACAAAATACGAAAATGCTAGAAATAGTTAGGTTTGCCATATGTAGTGTTTACAAGTAGGGTTACCAATTTGGCGCAATTATCGCCAACCAAAGTAATTCGCCCCAAGGGTGTGGGCTCTCCTAGGAGTGAACCCCGAATATGGCAAGGAAAATCGCTTTCTATTTTGTCACTAAATATTTTAATTCTGTGATATGTATATATATTGTAGTTATTTAATAAAAAGTAACAAAAATAAAATTTTTCTTTCTTGACTTTAGTAAACATTGACTTAATTATTTTTATATGTTGCTTGATTTTTATTAATATTATTTTAGAATCTGTTACATCACTAAGATTAAAACCTTTTCTTTTGAAAATGTATCAAAAGAAGAGTATGTATTATCAAAATATGTATCTTAATTTTTTTAAATGAAAATATTTATTGATTTTTACTGATGATGTAGAAACCAAATACAATACGTCAGTATATAACTTCCGTGTTTTAATTTGTGACCATACGTAACGGAATCCAAGCGGAATTTTAAATATGAATCAGAAAAATATTTACGTCAGTAAAACAATCATCATTCGTCTCCCTTTCTTTTATTGATACATTTTAAAGAATGTCATTAAAGAATATAGTATAATATTGGGTGAGTGCAAAATTTCTACCCATTTTTACTAACCGTAAGAAAGTGCACATAAACGCAAAATGAACATTAACTATGATTACGCATAATCTCCATTGCTATCTATGACCTATTGCCATCTTTGTGGGTGGAAGTGAGTCTCACGGCGGTAAAATGCTGGTGGTTTCAAGTCAAAAAATTTCATGGATGGTAGTTTTCTTAAAGTTCAGGCCATCAAAGACTGAATGAATTGTTCAGCGCATAAGTGATAGTCCGCTGGTGTCATCAAAAGAATAGGTAGCGAGGGGTAAACCTCTCAACCAAAGCCCATTCACTTTTGGCTAGTGATGACAGCAGCATGTAGATGTAGCATGGCGTTATCATGATGAAGGATAAACACCGTGATGACCTGGGTTCTTTATTACCGCATTTGAATGCAGCATATCTAACTGCAGACAGTAAAAGGAGACATTGATGATTTGGCTAAGTCGCAGGACTTAACAGTGAATTATTCCCTGCACATCCCACCACATACTTAATAATATCTTCGAGGCATGAAGTGCAGCTTTCGAAGTCGATACAGGTGCATCGGAATGGCAACACACAGTCCTACGACGCTTTACGTTACAGTATAAAATCAACTTCTTATCTCTTGTTACAATTCGTGTCAAGAATAGGTCATTTTTGTACCGGGAAAGCAAGGAAACCCAGGTGGCGATTTGGTCATTCCTTTGCTTAGCTGTCAGATTATGTGAAACCTAACGATCTAATTCTCTTATAAAACCCAAGTAAACCGGTTCGTTCGTCAACCGTTGCTCGATGTACATTGACGTATTTGGTAATTAATGCATAGTTGGGTTCAAGTTGTTTCTTATCGCTATGTCAATTTTATGTTCCCTAACGTGTGATGGCCGTTCACTTCTCGCCTGATCTCATGGCAGCTTCTATCTCCTTCCCTAAATTTACAAAACCATCGACAACATTTGTTTTCGTCTATTGCATCCACCCCATAAACTTGACAAACATTGTGACATGCTGCGGCTGCCGTACTCTCTTTATCGAATTAAAACAATGTCTCATGCTCCTTTTCACTTTCCGTACTACACCCTCTGAGATTTTCTTAAAGGTGATTAAAACCGAGCGGGATACAATACATTTATATGTTAAGCACCCATTCGTTTGATTGGTCTATGATTTTTCGGTCATGTGTAATGTCTATTCCACTTCAAATTTGATTATGCAAAAAGCGGGTAGAGCTTTCGCCCTTACTCGTTATATTTTACCATTTTCCAGAATACCCAAATGTGAATGTTTATTATTTTATATTCAATAAAATTATAGAGTACATATCTTTCCTCTTCTCAATATCTTTAACCCATTGTCTGTGGAAGATATTCAAGAAAAACATGCCAAAAGTTTTTTCAAAACAATTATTTTTAATTTTGTTCATTATATCCTCAAAATGTTAGAAATAGAATATTACAAAAGAAAAAACTTTAAGCAAAATAACTACTTTATTTAAAATTTTCATATACGTGGGGAATGTTAATGAATTACAATAATTTTTGCCCGAATCATAGCAAAATGAATCAAATGATACAATTTTCAAGATAAATATAACAAAATAATTCACAAATTATTTATATGAACTGCCATATAAATTCCATGTCCCTCAGATTCTTTTGAATTCCTTCAATCCTTTACGGTATGGTACATACGAGCTGCAAAAATCCGAAAACTGGCGCCAAACTGCCAAACATTTCGCCGGAAAGTATCCCCAACTATTAGGAAAATGATAAATTGCATGTTATGCGTTGGACGAAATGAGTTTGGGGGTGAGTGAGTGAATATTAAAGTAACGCTTACGAATAAATCAGGTGCTCTGTATTGAGTAATATATAAATACCTTAGTACTTCTATAAGTATATTATTTCAATTGACTCATTTGATCTGATTTTTTGATATTATGAGAGGCTGTAACAACATTGAAAGTTAATGGATGTTTTATGAATCATCTTGTTAAAAGTATAGTTATGAGTATTTTGGATATCATTTTTATTACATTTTTTATACGAGTATACACTTCATAAGTCATACAGAGTGTCCCAAAAAGATTATACCTTTTTAAACATTTTTCTCTAGTTTGTGTGTGTGTGTGTCTGAGGTACTGTTGGAATGTTTTAATGTAACAGAAGTTAGGTAATATTTCGAAGTATTTTTTTTTCATCTGGATATCTTCCGTGTCACGAAGGGCACCCATAATTAATCTTTGTAAGGTACAACTTTGGTACATAAAAATACTTTGAAACATTACCTACCTTCTGGTATAATAAAACATTCCAACAGTACCTCAGACAAACTAGAGAAAAAATTTTTAAAAGGTACAATCTTTTTCGGGCACGCTGTGATGGTAGTGACTGTCATCTTTTTTTATAATGGTTATTAAATTCTAATTTATTTTTTATATTGGATCTATATACTACACATTTGTTACATAGTCAATAACTTTTATTTTAATATTTAGTAGCATAAAGTATTTCAATATTTTAATTCATATTATGTGCTATGAATTAGAATATATATATCAAACTGTTTAAAGAATATTATTACAAGTAAAAATATTTAAATGTAATTTTTTGGGATAAAATGAAGAAAGATGTATTTTCAAAACATTCTGCTTTTATGAAAAATGCTTCTACTTCAACATTTTTCCTATATGTACCTAAGAGATCTATACAGAGGCTGAATGACGATTTTTGAAATATGTAAATTACAAGTGGATTTATCATACTTTAACGCATAGTCAAGTCACATTAATGTAACTACCTGTTAAAAGCTAGAATAACCACCTTTCGCACAGTGGACTACTATGAAACGTGTAGGAAGAGAATCAATTAAGTTTCTGAAGGTGTTCACTGGGATGTTGAGCCATGCCGACTCCAGCGCCATGGCCATCTACGCAAGATCACACGGGTGAGAATCCATGGCCTGAAACACCCTATCGAGATGCTCCCTCAGATTCTGGATTGGGTTTAAGTCAGGTGAATTTGCTGACGGGGGAGAACGGTAAACTCTTCTTGGTGCTCTTCAAACCACGCACGGGGCTGCGGTAGCCCAGTGGTTAAGGTATCCAACCATGGCAGGCATGTCATGAGTTCGATCCCAGTACCACTAAAGACCCGCCGTGTAGGGCAGCGATGCACGTTAAATCTGTCGAGAGCTGAAACGTCCTCCCGTTGGTGTGGTGTGGTAGTTAGGAGAGGGGTGCCAGCTCAGGTGTCGTCCACGTCACTTGACCATGGTTCAAAATTACGTGGTCCGTCGCCAAAAGCCCTCGTGTAGCTGAACAGTGCGACGTTAATATTAACTAACTCACTCACTCAAACCACGCACGCACATACACTGCCAGCTGTATGACACTTCGCATTGCCCTGCTGGTAGATGCATTCATCCTGAGGAAAAACACTGTTCATATAGGGGTGGATATGGTCCGCAAGGATAGATGCGTACTTGTAATTTATCCAATGTGTCTTTCACAATGACGTAGGAACCCAGAGAATGCCATAAAAACATTTCCCAGATCATAATACTCCTGTCTCTAGCCTGGTCTGTTCTGGCAATGGCTGCAGGGTGTTTACTTTCAGAGGTTTCCCGCCGTATACGCCAACGTCCATCTGTCTGATGGACCATC